AAGAATGCACTAATCTGTATTCTTTAACACTTAGGCCTTATTCACATGGGCCTCCTTAGTTTGTTTTATTCAAAGGAGAACTATGGGGTTAAGGCTTTTCCCCATAGTTCTCCTTAGGGTAACGGGAGGCCACAAACAAGCGTCCTCCCGTCACCCTATACTGAGACTCCGCAGTATACCGCGAGCTGCTGCTGCTCGCGGTATACTGAGACGCCGCAGCTGAAGAGGATCCCAACAATTGTGCCGGGATCCGCCCAGCTGCGTGACTGACAGCTGGCTCTGCCTATCTAGAGGCAGAGCCAGCTGTACCCGCCCCCTCCCCCGTCCGTTCCGCCAGTCAGCGCTGGTGGATCGGAGCGGGGAGGGGGGAATCCAGCCCCTCCCCTGTCACGGCAGAGAGCTGTGACAGGATCGAGAGGTGAGCGAACGCCGGTATGTGTTCGCTCACCTCCCAATCTACTGAGCCGACCTGTGACAGTCTCATTGTCACAGGTCGGCTAGAACTATGAGGTGAGTGAAAAGCACTCACCTCATAGTTCTCCTATTAAAGGAGAACTATGAGGAAAGTAGAGGAAAAGATAAATGCATAAGCGAAAAGTACAGTAAGAGAGAAAAGGAGAGTGACAAAAAACAGAAGAACAGTGGGATATCAGACCATCATAACAGGTAAGTGAAATGTTACGAGAGAGGATGGGTCTATCCCCCAAACCACCGGATGAAAGGAAAAAAAAAAACCTGAACCCCACCTCAGGAGGATCAAAACCACTGTAAACCATCAGGATTTATGTCTGGATGGGCATATGCTATCCAAGCCTCCCAACTGCTCAAAAACTTTTTGTTTTTTTCATCTACAATACTTGTCAAACATTCATTGACCATAATATTATCTACCCTTTGTTTGACTGCTCAAAAAGGGATGATATGTTCCTGCCATCTCCTGGCAAAAGTCAATTGGGCAGCAAGGAAAATGAAATACGTCAAAGTTTGTTGGGGTTTAGTGCCGTTATGGGAGCATGTAAAAGGGCTGATCATGGGTCCCTAGAGAGAGATTTCTGTTTTTCAAAACACCATTAAAATGAATGCACCTGGACACAAGTAAATACACAGTGAGGGGGATTTATCAAAACTGGAGCAGTTGTCCATGTCAACCAATCTTCTATCTTTAAATTTCAAATCTTAACTGAGCAAACTGAAGATAGAAGCTGACTGGTTATTATAGGCAACTGCTCCAGATTTTGTCTGCTCCAGTTTTGATAAATTCCCCTCAGCGTATATGATATAATTTCAAATCATGACATGCATTTATATGTGTTTAGAAATGTCCTATGAATGCATATAATTGCAAGTATGTAATTACCCGTGTGAATGAGGCCTATTTATGAGCAAATTGATTCTGTATTCTGTCTAATTGTGATTCTTTTCCCCACTTTATTCAGGCAGATCAAATCACTGCTTCCATCATCACTATTTAGCTGCAGTGTGTTCATTTTAGGTATCCCAGAAGTATTACAGCCTGCCATTGCCATTCAGGGAAGAGCAGGTTGCAGACACATACGTACATTTCACAGTGCTACGCCACCGGGCGGAATGAAGAATCTGTATTGACAAATCATACTGTATCTTACTGAAAAAAATCAGTGTATTACCACAGGCCTGCTGAAAATTGCAATAGCTGTAAGTTCTGTTACTAGGCAACTGCAACCACTTGGACCAACTTTGCTTGGGCACAAATATAATAATGTCACAGCATTTTCAAATTATGAAAGATTCCTCTATGAACATCACTTAAAGCAGATCTCCAGTGAAGTTTTCTTCCAGCTGAGTTTAAAATAAACAATGAGGCTTTGGCTGCATAAGGACCAGTGTCAGATGGGTTTAGCATACACATACAAGTCTATGGTGCAAAACCTGCTTGAAACAGGTTAAATGCAGGTTAAATGCGACTGGCAATGAGTAATCTCAGAAACTTCTCAAATAATGGAAATAACATAAGTCAAAGGCCTATTGACACAGTGCCTTATTCACCTTTTCTCTGGTGCTGCCCCAAATAAAAAGTCCTTTGCTCCGCCAGTTCTGTTTCAGGTTGCATGACTGCCTGCATCATTAAATCCACTTCCTGTGAGCCCAGGAATTTCATGGACGCAACTGATGGGGTGCATCGCCACGTCTGCCCTGGCAGTAAAGTGAGCAGGACTGAAATGAAGACTCCCTACCACTGCCAGAGGAAGAAGAGGAAGAACCATAGACATCATGGGACGGCCACAAGACACCAAGGAAAAAGGTATGTATTAAGGGGAATAAAAAAAAAGCAAGGGTGCGGGTGTGGAAAGGACGACTTGGCATTTAAAACACTAGTGTTTTGCCCTAAAGTAGTATTAAGTTCTGGGCGTTTTTTACCTTAATGCATTCTCTGCATTAGGGTAAAAATGGCCCAGCACCTTTTTTCTCCCTCAGTCCCCCCAGCACATACCTGTCAGCGACACTCGTCCTCACCTCCGGTCCCGAAACGATCCTCCGTTCCCCAAACTTCCGAGTTCCGAATACTGATGGCAGAGGAGCCATAGGCTCCTTCTGCCATCAATCAAAGAGGGAAGGGGCATGGGCTGCCACAGTGCTGTGTGTGTCTATGGACATACACATCCACTGCAGGCACGAGCGCGCACAGGTGCCTCCCGTGCAGGGGGCAGGGGGAATAGCGCTGCGGGGACCCACTAGAAAACGAGGGATTAAACAGTTTTAAAGAAAAGCAGCAACAGCCTCCTGCAAAAGAGGGTTCACTTAAAGGAAACATTAAAAAAATTGAGGCTTTAATATCACTTTAAGTTCTGTGCTAAAATCACCAGTATATGCTATGTTTTGGAAAAAATTACAAACCCATCAAATCAGGACTTTAGCAGATCTTTCACAATAGCAGCAATAATGTTGTGTCTCTGAGCAATAAATGTGGCTTCTCAGCCAGCTGATGTGAATATGAACTAGAAAATCTTGATATCTCACCAGGTTCAGGTGAGAGGGAGCTGTACTATACCGCCCCATTCACATTATGAAAGAAGCTGAATGGGCCCTAAGGCTAGAGCTACTCAGGTGTTTTTCAGTAGCTCAATTGTGCAACTAAAATCACTAGTGTTCCATCCTTCGTGGTAAAACAGATACAAAATAAATGGCTCCACATGGTACAAGCCACACAAGTAACATACACAAGCACAAAATTGGAGCATTGTGTAATTGTACGAAAAGTTACATTAAGGGCAATTTATCAAAACTGGAGCAGTCAGAATGTGGAACAGATGCCCATGGCGACCAATTAGGTTCTCTCTTTCATTTTCAAAGCTTAACTGAACAAACTAAAAAAACTGGTTAGGTGCCATGGGCAACTGCTGCAGTTTTGATTCATTTCTCCCTTTTCTGTTTGTGTAGGTAATCCTATAGGAAGCCATTTTTTACTCTCTACACCTGTTCAGCAAGGTTTTAGTAGTGCATAGCAAAGGAGTTTGAGAAGAAACTACAAAAAAAAAAATGATGACAAAGTGGTTTAGCAGCCTCTCAGTTAAAGGACCTGTTTAAAGGAGAAGGTATTTTTATATAAAATTAAAGTAGAGATTTGACATTTTTAGTATGGTATCTGAGCAGCATTTTGGCTGCATGTGTTCTAAGCCAACAGGTCCTCTTTAGGTGTGGTGAGCCCGGTGTTGAGATTTAAAGTTAAAGGCATACATTTTCTGAACTGCCTTCTTGTGAATGTCCCAGCAGGACAAAATAGAAAAGAGGAGGGTTTTCCTTCACTCCCTGGGCACCAAATTTAAAGAGGTCTGCTCTTTTGACTTATTTACATACAAGCTTTACTGGCTTGGAATCCAGGCTTCAATCACCTGGTGGGCCCTCTGGACTGGTGGACCCAGGGTAGCTGCCCCTTTTGTGTTTATTGTTGGAAATCACGGGGCCCTGTACAGTCCACTTGTCAGTGTTATCATGTAATTTACTGCAATGCTTAACAATGAACATTACATGCATTGGTGCGATTCGGTGCAATTTATTCTGAATGGCAACTTGAGATGGGCATGCATTATGGTTCGCAGACAAAAAATAGTGCATGCATCATTCTTTGGCATAGCACCACATATTAGTATGTTGAAACATACGTCCATCTCAAAGTGCATTGGGGATGCATGGCACCCCTTCTTTGCACCTACCTCACTGTAGGTGCGCTGCGCAGTAGTGTGTGTTAATCACACGGAACCGTGCAATTAACGCACCACATTGGTGTGAGCGGGCCCTCAAAGTCCTCGCAGTTTCCTCAATCTGTTCACCCCAAGGTCCGAGCTCCCAGCTGGTATCCCAATTAAACTGGTTACCGCCCCTCCCTGCTATCACCGATATCTCCCACATGTCCTCCCCATTCTCCTTCTGTGCTGGCTCAATAAGGTGAGTACTACAGTGTGCAGGTCCACCTAATTCGCTGCCTTAGCCTCTAGTGACAGCCTACTTAATTGGTGCATCTTGAGCACCAGTGAGGTAGGCTAACATTGGAGGCTTAGGCAGCAAGTTAGGTAGACCTGTACACGCAGTAGCTTATACCTTAGATACCATGACAGCTGCGGGAGAAGAGCCTGAACTCCACTGCCTGCTTTCAAGCTGAGCCCGGGCTTCCATGCTGACCCAATGGGGCCTGGGCCCAGTATGGGAGGCCAGGCTGTACCCTTCTGTCGACAGCCCTGCCCATGGGCACCACTCCTTCTCTCATGTTCTCATGCTATGTAGTGTATTAACAGAATTATATTTTTAATGTTAAAGGTTTCCTGATAATGACTTTTGCAACTAAAGGCACATAGAGTGCTTTGCTTAAAGGCTAAGTTTACCTTTCTGACCATGTTTCATGTTACACCCACATTTAGGGTATAGTATTACTTAGTATATATTGTATATGGAATATATTTTATATTTAATTCCTTTCTGCAAAGTTATGGCTTGCCATTGCCTGCACCCATTTAATCTAACAATACCTGCTTCTGATGCTGGAGTAGTTCAGGTGTCTGTAGCTGGGGGCTGAGGTCTCTGCTGTGCTCGCTTGTGGAATGTTGGGGATAATCTGTTAAGGCAAACACTCCATCGTCCTCATCTTCTTCTGCTTCCTCCAAGTCAGGATCACTTCCTCTGAAGTCAAGGTGGCCAGCAAACTCAGGAAGGGTATTTAGTTGTTCAATCTGCAATCAGTTAACAAATTTGCCAAATATATCAAAATCTGCATAAAACATAAATAACAAGATATCTGAATATTGTGCTCTTGGCAAAAACAAAATGGTTTGTTCAGCTAAAATAAATAGATTCCCAATATATAACACCTATTTGGTTATAAAAGAATTAGATTTTTTTTTAAATGAAAACTATCTTATAAACTGACAAGATGATAAAAATCAGCTTTTAGCATAACTTCATAATATATTATCTTCCTTGACAGCACCTTAAATTGTGAGCTTACCCAACACTGGCCTTAGTCATAGCATTCTTGGCTTGGTCTTGGGCTGAACATCAAAGTATCATGCTGTTAGTGGTTTCTTGGTTTATTTTTAAGAAGAATCCAGAATTGCTCAAACAAACCTACGTCAAGACTTTTATGAGTGTGGCACAAGTTGGAGTAATATAATATGACAGGGGTAAAACCGCTCATTTAATACACTTTATCGAGAGGTTAGTTCTGTACTGTATTGCAGCATGAAATAAGCACTGATTTTACAATATGGAAAAAGCGCAACTGGAAATGGCATTTCATAAAAGATTCAGAAAGTTTTGTATACTAAAATCAAAATGGCACTTGCGAAAAAATTCTGTAAAGCGAGGATGCTATCAAATATAATGCAATGAATAGTTTTTATTTATCAATTATCAATCTACAAAGGGCATAAACAGAACAAACTAAATCCTTAATACGTAATCCCAGACAGACTCAACAATGTAAAGATCAGGGCTTTGTGGGAGCCATACCATCTCTTTCTGGACTGCTTGTTCTTCTTTTCCCTAAAAATAGTTATTTGTGACTTTTTCTGTATGTTTAGGGTCATTATTCTACTGCGGAATGAGTTTGGGACTGATCAGGCTCCTCCCTGATGGTACTGAATGATGGGTAAGTATCTGCCTTTTACTTTCCAGCATTAAGGAGAAAATTAATTCTGACCAAATCCCTAACTCCAAACCTGCAAGGAACCTCCATGCTTCACTGTATGCTTCACTGTATTCTGCAGAGACTCATACTTGTACTGTTACAGGCATATATTTCAAATTTGGATTCATCAGTCCAGAGCACCTGCTGACATTTTTCTGTTCTTGTGTTTTTGTACATAGGTGAGTTGCTTGGCCTTGTTTTCACATTTAAGATATGGCTTTTTAACTGCAAGCCTTCCATAAAGACCACTCCTAACCATACTTCTCCGTGTGGTAGATAGGAGTACCAGGGTCCCACTGGTTTGTGCCAAGTTTGAGCTGATGGTGCAACTGGACATCTTTGGTTTGTGAAAGGAAGTCAGCATGATGTGTTTATCTGCTGCACTTGCCTGTTTCTTTCTACTGCTGCAGAACCGCTTGGAGGGCACATCTATGAAAACCTCTCTTCCTTGAGATTTCTACCTGTAAGAGACCTTCATGATGCAGAAAGACCACCGTGTCACTGTGTTGTCTTGCCTGTGTGTAATAATTATTTACACTCAAGTGTCTTCAGCTTCATTATTTTATATTTACATGTTATCTTGTTGATCATTAGCACCTGTTTGGTTGACTGTGCACAGGACCCATCTTCCTGCAAAGTCCTTAACTGTGTGCAAGTGTAGACGGGACCACTGATGCTTTCTTTCAAGGATATGTACACTAACCAGTGATTTGCTTTAAGTTTTTTTTGGCTCTTAAACTTGTTGGTTGTTAATACATAAAAAAACTACATTAATTTTTCTAACACTTCATAGCATTTTGTTTTTACATATACCTAAAACCATTGCACAGTTCTGTTGCTCTCCAGCTACAGAAGCTGGTGAAGCAAATCTCTGCTTCATCAGCTTCTCTGGGGACCCCTATGTGACATTAGGGGTCTTGGAGACCCCTGAAGTCTACATAAAGAGTACCTGTCATGTAAATTGACTATCACATAGGGGGATTCTTAGCCCCCCATGTGATAGCAACAAAGGTAAGTGTAAAAAAAAGGTAATAAAAAAATTAAAGAAGCATAATTATTTTTTTTAAACTAATTTTTATTTAAGTCCCTGCCCCCCACATACACACGCAAACATGGGTCGGGCGCACCTATATGCGAAAACGCCTATTGCGCCTATTGCACTAAACACATGTTACATATTACCGCGAATGTCGGAGTGTGAGCAATAATTATAGGGCCATTAATCACTGATAACACTAAACTGATGAGCAGTAAAAGCGTTTAAAGCGTCGCCTATGGCCAATTTTTGGTGTGGTCGTTTTTTTGCGATTTTGTGGGCGCGTGCAATTTTTAAGGCTTGACATGTTTGGTGTCTATTTACCCGACGTACAAAATTGTGTGTATCTTCCTGCACTGCTTACCGGATCTCCTAGGAGATGATGTCTGTAATAGGGTGCTTGTAGCGACCACGGAGGCACCGTGTAGTCAAGTAGTAATTCAAAAAGATGTCACCAGCACTCCAAAAGTAGATTCAATATATTTTAATGACATCGGTCATTCAAAATCACATGTACTTTCGGGGCCACGTTGGGTCCCTTTCATCAGGCTCAGAATTCTGAGCCTGATGATGGGGACCCAACGTGGCCCCGAAAGTACTTGTGATTTTGAATGACCGTTGTCATTAAAATATATTGAATCTACTTTTGGAGTGCTGGTGACATCTTTTGGAATTACTATTTACCCGACGTGACCCGGTCTTTAATATTTTACTATAAATATGGGTAAGAATAAATATTTTTTAACATAACATAGGGAAAACATTTTTCCCCCCCGAAATTTACAGTACATTTTTCATTATATAGTAAAAAATAAAAAAAACCCCAGTGGTGAATAAATACCACAAAAAGAAAACTCTATCTGTCCCAAAAAAATAATATATATATACAGGGCTCGAAAAATGCACTCGTCCACGACGAGTGGACGCCAGTGCTGGATGAGTAGCTTCCCGACCGGCCGTTGTAATTAAACGGCCGGCCGGGAGCTTTACATTCATTTATATATATATATATATATACATACATACATACATACATACATACATACATACATACATACACACACACAAAATATACTGTATATCCAACATTTATACGGTCCAGCATTATCTTACTGATGAAAATAAATTACCTGAAGCAATTCATCCCCCGCTTCTTCCTCCTCTACCCGTTTGCACTGGCGCCAATGTGCTAGAAGCCATTTCAGCTTGACATACAAAACAAAGACATTCTGCTTAAAGTTCCTTAGTTCTTGCTGTAAGAGACTTTTTTCTTGGCCCCATGTTTTCTCCTCCAATTTATTCTGTAGTGTGAGACTCTGAACTTCCAAGTCTTTCCTCCGAATGTTCTTCAAGTGTTCCTCCTCCAGCTGTGTTAAACAAAAAAATTGATTGTATAAATATGAATAATCATTAAAGATCATATAACATCACCTTGATATGTGCTCAATAACAGCAGGAAAGGGTTCCAGAATAAGAGTATGCAAAAGCCTTTCTCAGTAACCTACAGCAATCATCCAGATTTCACTTGCTAACAGTTTAGAGAAGTCAGACCAAAAAAAATGATATCTAAGTGATTACTATGGGTGACCACACTCTGTACAGGGCCTGATTTGGCACATGGGGAGTGTGTATTCAGGCCTTTCTTGCCTAACAGACAGGCCGTAAAGTTAGACTGACATCTGAGAGTGGACGTTGAAGATTGTGGAGGGACATAGGTATTCCCTGTCAGTCTAAGCTAAGTATCCTGCAGTCTGTGTGTGAGCAGACTAGAGGTCCAGTCTGATGACTGATGGAGCCAGTTCAGCAGAGAGGCTGCTCTGTTTTAAGAGGAAATAGATAGAGCTGTGCGACAAATAGCCAGGAGGCTGGAAGACATTTATGTTTATTGTAATGCCAAACAACCCGTGAGAGGGGAAGAACACTGAGTAACTATGATATTTTGGATGAATAAAAGTGGGCAAAAAGCCATAAATCATACTCTGCCAAGTGGACTGAATCCTTGGAAACTCCACCATTTGAAGCTAAACTTTACAAATCATAAAATTGGATTACCAGATGAGGTCATTTAAAAGTGATTTAAGTGATTTAGGATGTGAACTAGACTTGAATGTATTGGAAAAATGCAGATGACTCATTCTCCTATTTCACAAAATCTGACTTTACAAGAAAATGCATTTAAATTGTTACACGGATACTTAGGCTTCCGGACAAAAACAGGCTGAATATTATATTAAATCAAGAAATATACTCAGCATGATCACTGCGTCTAACAAGCCTACAGTTCCTGATGGTACATCAGACCCTGTGCAGAGTGTGGTCACCCATTGTAATGGTTTAGATATCATTTTCAATTGGTCTGACTTTATAAACAGCTAAGAAGTGAAATCTGGTTGATTGCTGTAACTTACTGCACTTTTGCTACTATCTGCACTGCTAACACATGGCATGTGTGCTTGTCAATCCCTCTCATTGATGTAGAAGACTGAAATAAGAAGTTTTAATAATATCATTGCAACTATTGTGAGTACTAATTCCAAGTATGTTTTCATTTACATATTAATCAAAAGTAAGATTAGAACAGGAAAAAATCCACAAAAATGGGTCAACAACACCCTGCAGCACTTGATAAATATTTAATGTCAAGTACAGATTTGTCATACAGCTCAGTACTGGAGGCCAGCATACATCGCCGAAATCTATCATGAGCTGGTAATAAGTGATCATTTGCATAGAAATTACCTAATCTCTTCATCTGGGAAGTACTTAACTAGATAATTACTGCTAATCTACACAGTAGAGAGCTTGTCATCACTGTCTCATCCCTTCAATGAACCATTTCCTATCCCATTTCATAGTAGAGGGCACAGAACTTCACAGGTTAAGAAAACTTGGCAATTGGTAGCATAGTATGTGTTAACCCCTTCAAGGCCACAACATTTTCCTCCACACAGGCCCCGAACATTTTTTTCCCTTTGGAGATGCACTCTAGTTTGGTAGCAGATTTGAATACTTTTTTTATTTTATAGGCTTTAACTAGAAAGATGACAATTTAATAAAAACACTTTTTTTTTCTGAAACGCTACTTTATGTAGTTAGTGCAACCGCAGATATCCACCCCAAGTACAACTCTCAAATTCACCAATTCCAAAGCCTCATATCAAAGTCCAACTTTCATTTTAAGGTGACATTAAAAGAGAACTATGGGGTGTTTTTCCCCATAGTTCTCTTTAGGGTCACAGGAGGACATATACTAACCTCCTCCTGTGACCAAAAGCTCAGTAGATATAGAGTAGAGGGCGCTGCAGCCGGGACGTATCCCTCAATACTGTTGGGATCCACCCAGCTGCGTGAGTGACAGCTGGCTCTGCCTATCTAGAGGCAGAGCCAGCTGTGCCCGCCTCCTTCCCCGTTTGTTCCTCCACTCAGCGCTGGAGACGATCGGGAAGTGAGCGGATCGGTGCATGTTTCTGCTCACTTCCCGATCGATAGAGCCGACCTGTGACAGCTTCTTTGTCACATGTCAGCTCTAACTATGAGGATGAGTGGAAATCACTCACCTCATAGTTCTTCTTTAAACTCAGCAGTTGAATCTTAAAAATACATTCAAGTACCTTAACTAAACAAAATATATAACTGGGCTATAGATCCTCAAATAGCTCTAAATTCATGCTGACACTGTCCTCCCTTCTGGAGGGGGGCTACTTTTGTTCTCCATGGGGTTCAGAGCCTGGGGAACTCGGTTTTATATAAAGAACATGGTTTTCTCATAGCAGATATTCTGGTCAATAATACACTGTGCATATTACAGAAAGTATGAAAATACAAATATATAACCAAAAGACCTAGTGTCTTGGGGTTCTGGGGATATTTGGGATTCTACCACCGTCTGATCTTGTTGACTAACCTGGAAGTGCCTGAAGGTACTCACTTGTGATGTAAAGTCTTTGTACTGGAACATCATGAATAACCTAGGCATCAGAGCAGTCAGGTATTTATTGTAAGGCTTTATATTACTTTTTTGGAACTTACTGATTTTAAGTCATAATTATTATGTTCTTAAAAACAAAGTTATCATTTATCTGGCACCAGGTCACATGTGCACTCTCATATGTGCACTTTTTTTGGAATGGTGGAAACACAAGCATGTGTTGTGGCTGTGAAAGGGCTAGTGCCACAGTCATAGTACCATTACATATTACATTTTTCTGTTGCAAAAAGTGAGACTGATTACACATTTCCACAACTAGTGGAAAAGGGTGAGAGGTGTTGAGCAAAAATACAGGGGCATTTTGCATGAACTTGTTTCTACTTTGATCTGCTAGATCCAGGTTTTCTTTATACTATAGTTTTTATTAACACTTCAAATATATAAGTCCAAGTACAGTAACAGAAAAAAAAACAAAAATATACAGAGATGCAAAGGACAAGAAGGCAAGACCCAGATCCAGGTTTTAATGTCAAACTGATCACTGCAGACAGTGCAGCATATTAACTTCACCAATTCCATACTTGTTTTTTCTGGAAGCCTGGGATCACAATAAAATGCCCGCAAGATGCTGAGTAGAGGGAGATCGGTAGAAACATCTGCTCTGAGCACATCAGGGTTCAGAGTCGTCAGTTCCCAGCCAACCTAATTGGGTCAGGAAAAGATCAATGACTTTCTACCCTCAATCTGCTTAGGGCAGAGAAGGCATTGGAGGATTAAAGCTGGCCATACACTGCTCTATTATTTTCGTTCAACTAGCGGCACCCACTGTGCGAATTTCGTCTGGTTCCTCAAGAAGGTGTCACCTTAATAGGCTTCTGGTACCTTTATAATTTAGATTAGATTCCTATTTGTATTACAGTCACTGCCATTCAGACACAACCATACAGAACCACTAATTAGAAAAATGAGGCTATATACATATACAGCATGTTCTCCCTGTGCTTGTGTGGGTTTCCTATGGGTACCCCAGTTTCCTACCACACTCCAAAGATCTAGGGCTGCAGCTAACGATTATTTTCAAAATCGATTAGTTAGCAGATTATTAAGGTCGATTAATCGGTTAATCGGATAAAAAACCCCAAAAGGCTACAGTGATGGACTAGTTTGTATTGAGATGTAGTCCATCACGGGAGCAAGCTTGGCGCGGTGGAAGTAAAAAAAAAAGGGGTGGTGTGCAATATAGTACATTATACAGCGTCGCAATGGAGAATACCAGCAGCTATAGAGGAATACAGCAAATTGCAGCAATAGTACATTATACTATAAATGTACTATTGCTGGGATTTGTAGTCCTCTGTAGCTGGCGTTATTCTGCATTGCGCTGTATATAATGTATTATTGCTGTGATTTGTAGTCCTCTATAGCTGCTGGTATTCTGCATAGCGCTGTATATAATGTATTATTGCTGGGATCTGATGAATTCCTCTATAGATGGTGTTATTCTCCGTTGCGCTGTATAATTTATTATTGCTGGGATTTGTAGTCCTCTGTAGCTGGTGCCATTCTGCATTGTGCTGTATAATGATTATACGGCGCAATGCAGAATACCACTGACTAGTTGTAGAGGAATACAACAAATATACAGCAGCACAATGCAGAATACCACCAGCTATAGAGGAACAACAAATCCCAGCAATAATACATTAAACACCCTGTATAATGTACTATTGCTGGGACTTGTTGTTCCTCTATAGCTGGTGATATTCTGCATTGTGCCGCTGTATAATACATTGGTATTCTGCATTGTATTGTATTGTGCATGGTACTCTGCATTGTATAATACAATGGCACAATGCAGAACACCACCGACCAGATATATAGATATATCTATCTATATCCATCTATATATCTATATATAGATATATCTGGTCGGTGGTATTCTGCATTGTGGTGTTGTATTATGCAATGCATATAGTTGCAGCTCTACAAAGATCTGCTGGCAGGTTAATTGGCTCCTGCCTAAACTGGCCGTGTATGTATGTGAGATAGGGGGCCTTAAGATTTTAAGTTCCTTGTGGGCAGGGACTGATGAGCATTACCCACACCCATAGATATATGTCACAAAGGCGTGGGGAGAGCTCTCTGCCACAACTGTCACCACTGACTGGGACGGGATGGTGTGGTGATTACAGTTCAGAGTGGGTTTGCACCATGCCCAGGCTCATCTCTATTTATAACCTGACAAAGGTTGTAATCCTTCCCTACTCTAGAGATTGGCTTAAAGTGCATTTCCACTTGCAGTCAAATTTGAAAAAAGCCCACTATACGTGTGTGTTCCTATTCATACTGCATACGGAAAAATAATTAAAAAATATATATATTTGTTGCCTTTTAGATGTTTTGTTGCAGCAGGCAACATGACTGATTCCAGGTTTTTCTCATCACCTTCACAGTGATCTGTCCTAATAGAAAGACTTAGGACTGAAAATTGAGTATTGTGTTTCTCTCATTACCTTCCTTAACGTTTGAATGCAAAAGTCAGGGTTGTAATCCTTTAACTCTTTGTTAGTGTTCAAATCTACTTTACAAATCATAATGAAATGAGCCAACACAGTACAAACAGGGTTAAAAACACCTTCACCTCTCACAGCTCCCCCAAACATTATAAAGAAGGAAAACAAGTAGAAATTCTAATGCTTGAGAAGCAAAAAAAAAAAACCCTAACCCAAGTAAAAGTTAAACTGCAAGAATAATTTAAAACATTTTTTTTTTAGCTTAGGCTACATGAATGGAAATTTGTAATTAACATAAAATAGGTGTTATCCAAATCTGTCTGCGAAAGTGGAAACACACTTTAAAACTAATATTCCAAATTTACTTCAAAAGTAAAATGTACACCTAGGTTACCCCTTTGGATGGTATTCATACCAGTTTACTCCAAACAATGAAAATTTGTGAAAATATATTTAGTAAATGACAGTACGCAGTACAGAATGCATTTCTATCAAGATACTAGGTGAAAAAGACATACTGTTTCACTTAGAAAATCCACACCTCTCAGAATGAATGTTCCATATTCGGATAGCATCTAGTGGTCAGACAATTACTAATGATGTACAACTGTTAAATGTCAAAAGAAACGAAACTGAAGGAATTCTCAGACGTCCGCCCTGCATTAGATTGTTGTCTTTCTATAGAGAGTCAGCTGTGTCTGGTCTTATAAAAGGTGGTGGATTAAGGACACATAATACCTGGATGAGCCTGTCTGTCACCTTTTCATGCTCCTCTTGGTGAAGTCTCCTTTCCTGTTCAAGAATAGCCTGCAGTTCACGTAGTGTTGGATTCTTTTCAGGCGATACGTGATTGCAGAGCTGGATATAGAAAGAAGCAATAAGCAAGTGTTAAATAAACAAGAAGCTAAAAAACAGTGTTTTTTCCCCCAAAGTAAACAAGTGCTAGTCAGGGCTTTAATACTGAATTGAAGTAGTTTAATTCGTAAGAAATTAAATCCTGATAAACTCTGGATTGATGGAACATAAAAAGTGTCTGAAATAAGTTCCAATTAAGTAAATAGTTATTTGGAAGTAAATAGTCATTTCCAAGTTTGCATTTTTCTTTCCAAACAAATTGCCCCTTAAGTACTCATTGAGGCTGGCTCCATACCTTTGTGTTGTGGTGATGCGCAGTGCACAGTACTGCTCAATGTAGGCAATAGTGTCTTGCAGTGCCATTTATTTTGAATGGTACCCCAACACACTAAAGCAACAGACCTGCACTGTGTTCCCAAAAAAGGGTCTGGTGTGGTTTCTTGTGTGCTGATAATCATGATATGTACTCCACAGGTGTAAAGCCGACCTTTGTTTGATGACAAAAAACGATAGTATATAGGGAGAATAAGAGAAGTGTTGTGTTAATATATACCAGCTTCATTGTCACCAGACTTCACAAGCACATAGTAGGCAGATTTTATGTAAATCCATATCTTTCCCTAACGTTGAACATATTTTATGCAAATCTATATATAGGATCTGACCACCCTCAGACACCTGTGTCTCCTGGTGGATCCATAAAAACAAATACATGTTCTGGCCAAACCAGGTACATAACTACAAATCACGGATCCCCATAGCAAACTTTGGGGACCCCCAACTAACTCTCTCTATAGCAGGTGGCAGTCAATAATATGTGTCATTGATCTTAACATGCGAGCTGTCAGCATAGTCAGTACACTATTAGGGAGCAGTGCTAGGGGTAAGAGTTATAATAGCACTAATAATAATAATAATAACCATAATTATATTTTATATTATGATAAAAGAAATAATGTTCTTGCACACACTTACTCCTCATTCCTAATTTCTGTCTGTAGCAAAAGTTCAGAGGGCAATAAATCTTACTGCACAGAAGAGGGTCTGTTTCTAGACAATCCTGAGGTCTGACCTCAGGCCTTCTATACTGTAAACCTCACAGTTTCGTTTTCTTTATGGGGCTGCCTCCTACCCCAGCCACATGGGCTGCTATGGCTACTGTGGCACCACTGGGCCAAGCATTTGTGTTTATTACTTTGGGGAAGGGAGGGCAGAGAAGGAAAGTAACAGGTAGGCAGATCTAATCTATCCAATCAGTGCTCCCTTTGAGAGTAAGCAGGTGTAAGTTTGGTCGCACAGACCGCCGGAGCAAAGGCAAGAAGAGGTTGTGGGGACCGATCTGGCACCTTGGAGGGAGCCGACAGGAGCAGGGAGCGGATAAGTAAAACAGCTTTTTTCTGTCCCCTAGGCAATAAAGGGCAGTTAACCCTTGCAGTCTGGGAGGTAGTTTTACTATATAGAAACAGATTCCTGGGGTTGTTCTTTATGTTCTGATAAATTTTTGTTAAGAATTTGTTTTAATTGGTTTAAATGGCAAAATGCAGGTCAATTCACACAAAATATAGCATACAGGGCATTTTCATGTAGTGCATTGCGGTGGACAAGTCCTATTACCAAACAATATATTAACTTTTGTGCAGTATGCATGGCACCATGTCTGGTGTGGGCAAGCCCTAAGTGCCAACAAAATCAAAATATACTATATGGCCAAAAGTTTGTGGACTCGTAACCATCACACCTATATCAGCTTGTTGACCATTCTGAGACCATTTCTGCAGCCAGCCCCCGCTCCTCTGGGAAGGCTTTCTACAAGATTTTTGAGTGTGTCTGTGGGAATGTGTGTGCCCATTCAGCAAAAGAACATTTGATCATGAGATCTGGTTGAACAATTAGACCTGGTTCACATTCAGTGTTCAAATTAATCTAAAAGGTGTTTAATAGGGTTGAGGTCAGAGTTCTTCCACTCCAAATTTATAGAAACTTGTCTTTATGTACTTGGATTTGACACAGGGGCACAGTTATGCTGGAACAGCACACAGCTGTAAAAAATATTTTTTTGTATGCTGTAACATTAACTAGAAATGCCTGAACATAAACATTTGGAGGGGTGTTGACATAATTTTATTTTTGACCATAAAGTGTAAGTTTGAAATTTAACACAACCTATCTTCCATTTTAAAGTGTATTTACTGTCACCTGCACTATTATTGTATTTGTTTAAATGGTGGATCAAAAGCACTTATGCTCAAATTATTATTTTTTTTTAAACGTCAGCTGACGTGTCCCATTTTAAACTATGTTTTATATCTGCAGGCCAGTGCTAGCATATTGGGTCACTTGAATAAAGGTTAGTGCTGGTAAATGGTTTTGTAATATTGTACAGCCCTATACTTAGAAACAAAAAAGTGTCTGTGTACATCTAGTTGTAATAAGTTATACAACATTTCTGACCTCTAGACTGAAACCGCCCTTGTCTCCTGGCCTGTAGTGCTTACTGTCCCCATCTGCTCTGCGATGTGATTCATGATTTACAAGGAGACGATGGGAATCTTCTTCATGTTCATGGTGAGGTTGCCATTCCATTTGTTCCCTCAGCTTGGACTGCTAGGTGCATGGGTAGTATATAAACACAAATAAAAAGAAGACAAGGGATGGGGAGGTAAAGAAAAAAAACCCAAAAACAAACGAAAAGGAAAAAGAAGAACACAAAAAGACGTACATAACGAAAACAAAAATGGGTAAGGTAGACGACTGAAAAAAACTACAAGACAAAGAAAAGCGTGAAGAGGAAGACTAACTTAAATATGGTGGCATAAGACAGTGATGAAAACAAAACCAAAAAGAGTATGAGCAAAATGATGGGCTGAAATATCTGGAAAGCAAGAGAAAAAACAAGGGGGAAAAAAAGAATGCAAACACTGGTTATGAGGCGCGCATGCAATGAGGTGCATATGTCATACCAACAACAAGCGTGCAGGCCATGAAAGCAGCAGCATACCAAGTTTCTTCCCCATTGTAATGGTAACACGTTTCTTTTGATGTGTGCAGTATGAACATGCACTACTAAAAAGTCTAGAATATCTTTACTCATTCACCACAAAACTGGCAAATATAATTAAAAAAATTATAAAGCTGAGATATTAAAGCATAAATGATCAGTTCCCAATAGATGGATGTTTATAAACTGCAGAAATTGTAAATTTATGCAAATCTAGCAAAATAATTTAGCTGGGGAAAAAAAAGAGTGCTTGTTTGTTAATGGCAAAAAGAAGCAGAAACTACAGCAAATAAGCAACACTAATTACCTGAAAGTCAGTTATGAGTTCTTTTCCAAGATTTCCAATTGGAGAATCCCGAGAAGCAGAGGTCAGGTTGGACAAGAAACTAGATGATTCTGTGAGATGTGGCATTGGGGACAGGTCTTCTGCATGCTCTTTTAGACCTTCCCCTGTGTGCTCAACAATTTCTAGAAAGTTATGCAACTCTTTCCTGAATACTTTCATTTTGGTATTGATGCTGCTTAAAACTTCCGACCCAGAGGCGTCTCCTCTGTCTGGACAGCCCTTCAACACTTCCTCCATAGAACTGCTCGTCATCTGCAATTTGGCATCATAGATCAAGCTGTCTGTGTCTGTAATGAGACGCTCTACGGTCTTTCCTAGTCGTTCAGCCTCATGTTTCATGTTCATAAAACAGTGTGCATCTTCTCTCAGTTTAAGCAATTCTGCACAATATGTCTCACCAACCTCAGAGGGTTTTACACTCTCAAAACCTGAGGTCTTCTCATACGCATCTTCTGAGTCACTCTCTCCACCAATAGGACCTTCCCTTTTTGATTGAACATGACGTCCATCTTCACTGTCACTTTCTTTTTTCCCTGCATCACTTTCTGCATCACTATCACGTGGGCTTGCTGTTCGCATTCCCAAGTGTGACACAAGATCATAGCGTTGAACATTTGATAATAAAACTCGGTTTTCGTACTGAAGTTTCATTACCTTAGTGCTAAGCTCACTTATCTGAATACGGGCTGTCTTCAGCTCTTCCTGTACTGACCCATTGCATTTTGAAGAGTTGTCATCAATCCAGACAAGGTCCTGTACAGGACCAAACTTAAATCTATTCAGCTCAGTTGTAAGCTGTTTATTGTGATCCTCTATCTCGGAAATGGATCTCCTCAGCAGCTCTGCTTCCTCTTCCACAAACTGGAGGTGGCGTCGTAGCTCTGTGGCAGATTCCATGGAATCACCATATGGTGAGGTAGGAATGCTTGAAACATACTCCCTGCTTAGAAATTCTTTTTCATACTGACACCTGAGGTCTTCCATTTCTTCTTTAATGCCCCTGTTTTCCACTTCTAGCTCAACTATTTTCCTTCCAAGGATATTAGCTTCCTCTTCAACCAACTTAAGACGCAGTTTTAACTCAGCTTCTCTAGTGCTGGGTGGGCCCCCGGTCTCTCCTGTTGGTAGAGGACTTTCTACATCTCCATAAACTGATTTGTATTTCTCCAGGTCCTGCTCTAGATCATCCTTCTCTTTACCAAGTTTGGCCATTTTCTTCCGCATCAGCACTGCTTCCTCCTTTGCAAATTGAAGCTGGCATTTTAAATCGGCACTATCCTCCTGCATAGTAGGAAATTGCAATTAGAGGGTTTTTTTTAAATAACATTTTGAAAACAAGACACAAATTTGCACAAATGTTACAAATTCATGGAAAGAACTGCCGTAATAAAATACTGTTATTAATCGTTCTCCATGCAAACTGCTTTCTACTTTTTGTGTAATCAGTTCCCTTCAGCAACTTCTCACCTAAGGCTGGGTTCACACATAGGCGTATTGAATATGCGCGTTTGTCGCGCGTTTTTACCGCGATTCGCGGTAAAAAAAACTGCGCGACAAACGCCCGTTTCTGAGGGCTACTTGGCTGTATCCCAATGGAAACGCGAGACCAAAACGCCCCAAAGAAGTACATGTACTTCTTTGGGCGTAGGCCGTTTTGTATCACATTCGGACGGGCGGAAATACGGCAAGGTGTGAACCAGACCCATTGAATACAATGGGATTCGTCGAGCGTTGAACGCGCTACAAAACGTTCAGGTGTGAACCAGGCCTAAATAGACATTTTTGTTCTCAGTTGACCTGATGGGAGTCAGTAGGCATCATCATTTTTAGCCGTAGCACAGGTAGCTCACAGTAAAAAACAAACATACTGCATTTTTACTGCAGTCAGGAGATTCCCACGCTTTGGGTCATTATGGAATTGTACAAGGAAGTTTATACAAAGGTTGCCTGTTTGTGAATGTGTAGTCATTTAAATCTTCTATGAAAATAGATAGTTAGGATAGAGGTAAAGACAATTTATAATTATAGCTGTATTATAAATGTATTTAGCTTGTCATTATATTCTAAAAGTTCAGCTTTCAACATATGTTGAAAGCTGAAAAACATGTTTTTCTAACTACACAGCTACATTTAAAATTATCTTATGGTTGCTGATATTTCCTGAATGCAGATAACATTCAAATTTAACTTTACATCACTGGCCTGCAGTCCATGGACTATTTTCCCAATGGAAGAATGGACTATTACTGTACATTACTTACCTGGTTGATGTCTGGGAATACCTAAAGCATAACCTGGACAAAACGTAATTATCATCCCTCCTTCAATTTCCAACAAGACCTCTCTCATAATGCAAGTGTAATTCAACTTGATTGCAAGCCCCTGCTTAGTACTTTTTTTTACTAACAAGACTCACCTTTTCACTCTACCATTACCGCTCTGCAAGGTTTGTCAGGGACCAGAGCACCTCCAGGTGGTGCTGGAACCAGTTCCTGCAGTTACTGTGCTCACCTGCAGGTGTCTACAGGCAGCCAGGAGCTGTCGGGTGCCAGACCACCGTAAAGTGGCGCTCACCTGCGGGTGTCTCCCAGCTGTCGGCAATTGGTCTCCACCTGGTGCTGGCCTGGGAGGGTATTTAGCCCCTTCTCACAGTGAGGCTGGTGCCTCAGTATTGTCTCCATACCTGTATCCTGTTGCCTGTATCATGTTGCCTGTACCCTGTTGCCTTCTTGCACCCTGACTCCTTCCCCAGGTCTCCTGATCAGTGGCTCCCCAGGTTCACTAACCCCCTTATCGTCTGTGTGTGATTTTGCTGTTTTCATCTAGTTTGGCTATTTTACGGTACTTGTGGGTGTTGGTGGGGTTGCTTGCGTTTTTATGATTTTGGAGTGTCTAATAAACTATAAGTTCATAAGCATTGTCTGGTGTGGTCACATATTTGGTCCTCCTGTATAGATACCTGCACGCGGTGTGGGGACACCCGTGCACGGTATCCTGACAAGGTTTATCCATACTACCTGTACCTGTGCCTTACTGTAATCCATGGTTGTTTCCCTTCTCTTTGCTGCTCTTCCTTTTAAATCCTTCTCTCTTCTCATGCTGTGCAGAACTTCTGTTTTGCAGCAGACTGCCTTGTCTCTGGAATGGATACATGGTGTCTGTGTGCAGGTTCACAACCTGAGCCAGCACTACAGGAAGAGGCACTCAGCTGCAAAGGGAAGTTCTCACCCAGCATGAGAAGATATGAGGATTTAAAAGGAAGAGCAGCAAAGAGAAGGGAAACAACCATGGATTACAGTAAGGCACACATTACAGTATTGGTTTATGGAAAAAAATCTGAGGGTTTAATGTCACTTTAAGTTTACATATAAACATTGAAAATTTTTCATAAAATAAGTATTTTTTTCTCATATTACATAATATTCAAATCGCAGAATTTTAGTACCTGGCTAACGGTCTTCTTATCTTTGTGCATCTCTCTGCTTCCTCTTCGTTTTAGCGTACTCTGAAAAAGATGGATAGAAAAGAGATTTGTGTCAATCTGGGACAGTCTGATATATTTCAATATTTATCAAATGTACTTATGTTTTCTATGAATTTACTATTTTGGGTAGTATAATAATGTTAAAGTGGAAATTTAGCTAAAACATTTTTTTTTTTTTGAATAAAGTTGGAAGTAGTTATATGCCTTTTCTCTGTTGTGCAGTTTTTCTCTTTCAGTCCCTTTGGAAATACTGGATGAAACTCCCCTGCTAAGGGGAAAGTTGGATGGATTGTTCTGGCTGATTACTACTGTTTTCCTGGAGACACACCGGTGGCCACAGTATACCTAATAAAATACCCAAATGTCTGTAGAAGGTGGCCAAACCTCTGTAGGCAGTTTATGGGCATTGCTACTTGGTTGATTTTTTTAATCTGTTTTTTTGAGTTACTGTATGACCACAATCATTTTCTACTGCTCTCTTTAAAAGGGTACTGCTTGGTTGTTCCCAACCAAGAAAGATGAACCTTTCTGCTTTCTTGGTTTCAACATGTAATAATTAAATAAACTCTTCTTGGCCCTCTGATTTATACAATTAACAGTAGAACATTGCAAGGCTCTGTTCCTGTCTGCTATACTTGCATGATAAAGAGTGCAGTGGCCTAACGCATAATGTACACGTTTGAGGATCTGATTTTGAAAACATCATAATTCATAACATAACACAAAGGCATAACAAGGGTCTAAAAGATACATTTATGTATTTTGTTTCAATTTGGTGAAGTAAAAAGTCAAATGTCCATATGCACTACATGCTGCTGATAGATTTTTTTTTTACTTGTATCTTATACTGGTAGCACATCTCACACAACCAAATGACCTCAAATAAGTCAGCACAGTTTGGGTTTGAAAATTTCCTAAAATATTATGAATGAGAATAGTTAGTTTTCAAATTCAGCCCCACAGACAACTGAATTCTGTACAACCGTCTGATATTTATCCTACACAGCCAGAGTATAAAAATCAACTAACAGGTATCAAGGGCTACCTTTGTCCATCTGCCTACACCAGTCACTTTTTCACTCTGTTTTTTTGCCAGAGGCTTTTACTTTCTGTACAGCTTTTTTCACCTTGCCCAGCTGCTTTACTTTGCGCCCAATCACTTACATCCTTAACAGCCATTTACTTTTGCACTTTGCCAAGATGCAAATTCATTTTTAAAATGTAACTCCTGAGTTTATTGTCGCTTTAAGCCACCATGCTTTACATGTAACTAAAATATCACATTGGGTAACCTTGTGACAAAAACAGAAAAGTTTTATTTAATAATTTCATTAGCAAGGTAATAAGGGGGGTAAAGGAGGAATCAAAGAAAGCAGATATCAGCAGAGTAAACTTCAGCCTTTCCTTTATGAGAGGATAAATTATACAGAAAGTCTCAAGCCTTTTTAAAGTGCATACCAAGATAAGGTCAATATGGAGCGCAGACCATCCAGACATCCACCTAGCAAATATAACACATTCTTCACAGATCTGAAAAACACAGCAAGGCTAATGGGCATTTGCTGTAATTGTTGAATATGAAACAGCAGGGCTCTGTCTTTCGATAGGACCATGCTGTGTAAAACGCAGCTTTTCTGAAGGCTGTTACTTTTCTCCGCAGTGAAAACACCACAAGCTATGTGACCTGTTGTATGAGCTCAACATACTTGGAAAAAGTGTATTGAAAATGATATTTGGAAATAAGGAAAGATAGTTAAATGAGTATTGTAATCAACTAAAATCATGAAATGTATTTTAATGTAATTAGAGTAATTTATTTTAATTATCAGCCTCTTCTAATATCCAGTACAGAACGGGAGAGGTGGGGGCACCGCTAGGAGTCAATAAAGCACTGCTGAATGCACATGTACTGACAGTGAACATGCTAACAGGTGGAGAGAGCAGAGTGAACTGAGGGATAAGTCACCAGTGAGCTGCTACTCCTCCACTGTCCAATTACTAATGCATCAAAATGTCTGAAAGGAATACCTTTGTGTTGTGTGGAGCAACCCAGCAGATATGTGCTCTCATTTTCTAACCTGTAAAATGACAAAATGAGGACTGCTTGCTATAACCTCAGACACACTTAATAGATTACCAATGTATACAAACAATACATTATTTATTATAAACACTCAAATAAATAAAAACAATAAAATAGAAAACAATATATAAATAAAATCCTAAACATATCAGAAACTTTTATCTTCATTTTAAACTTATTGAACTAAAAATTCAGTATCAACTCTTGTGAATATGGATATTGTCTTGTATAATTTTCAATGTTTAGTATACCTTCCAGTGCAGTCTGCGTGTTTGCCTCACTTGAAGCCATGACATTTACAGGGTTTTTCACGAAAGGGTGAAGAGTTTGGAGAAGGCAGGCGAAGTGAACAATCTAGGACAACATAGCTGTACTGGGAAGTGAGCTGAATCGGAGAATGTTTCCAAATCAGGTACATTGTCCATGGGTGCCCATTAGGTAGATCGTGATCTACCAGTAGCTCTCAAAGCTGATGCTGGTAGATCTCGAAGGGTGTGAATAGTGGCCCCTTTATTCCATTTTGGTATATTTATTTCTCTGTGCGCACATGATTACCTATTAGCCTGAGTCTGCTGAGCCAAGCTCCCTGACACATTTCTGGTGGATTCTAGTCGTTGAAGTGCTATGTATTACATCAAAGAATATTAGTTTACACAGCCTGTTGCACTACACTGTTTGCAAAATAAAGCAAGTTGAGCCAGGGGAGAGCAAGGAGAGACAGACAGGAAAGAGAGACAGCCAGGAGAGAGAGGAGAGACAGCCAGGAGGATGAGCTAGTAGAGACAGCCAGGGGAGACAGCCAGGAGAGAGAGAGCAAGAGAGGTTTTTTTTCGTTGGTAGATCTCATGTAGCTCGTCATTTGAAAAGTAGATCAACACAAAAAATTGTGGACACCCATGTCCTAGATTGTTCACATTTCCTGCCTTCTCCAAACTCTTCACCCATTTGTGAATAAGGGTTTTAGAGCAGTGAAGCTGAATTTGGTGCAAGAAACAATTTGTGGACTGTTATTCTTCTCACTAATTTTCCTTCAAGACAGCTTAATCCATCACCTGCTTATATCATACCACGTGCATACTTTTAAAGGAAGGAATTGGGTAGGCAAGGTCCTATACTGCACGTTCTGTCTTTTCCAGAGCTTACAGTATATATGAAGGTTATGTAGCAAGGTAAGGGAAAAAGTGGAGGAGCAGCATAAATAGTAACTAGATACTCCCAGAAGAGGGGAGGGCTATGATGTGGTAGGAGGGAGGAGGGAACTGTGGTTGTGCTAGGGGATCAACTATTTCAGAAGTGGGTAAAATTCCCTAAGCACATTTAAATGCATAGAGCTCTTCAGCAGCTGATTTGGCATCACAAAAAGCTTTACGAACTATGAATTCCCACATATTGGACAAAATGGTATCCAATTTCAAGCCATTACAGTCCTGATACATGTTCTGCCTTAGTAAGCCCTAATAAAGGGGGTATTTGTAAGAGCCCTCAAAATACGTTGGACATTTCAATACCATACCCTCAACCCTATATTGAATAGAAATGTATCTGGACTATTAAACAGGGTGTGGCACTTCGATTCACAATCCTACAATTTGACACTAAAAACCAAGGAGACAATAGAGATCACCTGGAATGTAGAAGCTGCCTGTCTGGTAGTCAGATCACCTATAGTGACTCTTTCACATTCTAATTGGCTAGCCACAGCAATAGGACAAATCTTGCAGGTCCAGTATGTTTATTCCACTTTTTATAGCAAGTTTAAAGGAACATTGCAGGTGAATAAAACATGTTCATGGGAAAGGAAAAATCTTCCAAGTAAGCATTTAAAATCATTGATATTTTTGTGCTTTTGTCTGCAGTTTTTTAGGTTGGTGACAGGGTCCCTTTAAAATGCTGGTTAACAGTGTTTTTACTAATCTGTTTTTACAGGTGTCTGAGCTATATACAGAAATGTCGTTCTAATTATTTGCCAGCATTATTCCTCCCTGGTGATGTTTGAGACATGATTTTTTTTATTTGTCAGTCACACAGGTTGCTAATTACCTTTCTACAAAACATAAACCCCAAACCCTTAAGGCAGTTCTCACATCACCAAGAGCTCATGTGTAATAGCGTCTAGCACCATGCCCACTGTGGATCAGAACTCCCAAGAGACATGTGTAGAAGCATCTACAACATTTGTTCTGTATATAGTGAGTAAGAACGTCAATATCCATTGACATTATGTTGAGAGCTGGATTTACCATAAACACTGCATACCATGTATCATGTGTTTGAGGCCAGCAGTCGTAGTCTGGTTGTTGAGAATAAGACCGGTCTCACTGGCCAGCGACCTAAGAGCAGGTAGGGCCAGTGATGTAAGAGAAGGCGGGGCCCGTCGATAGCAGAGGAGGCGGGGCGCAGGGACGGAACAGGAGTCGGGACACGGCGACCACAGAGGCACTGACAGGTAAGATCTCAGACCCTGCGGAGCCCACTATAGAGAGTCTATGGCGGGCTCTGCAGGGTCACTCTCCGCTGGGGCTCTGCAAGTGGCATAACCACCAATCACGGGGCCCCATACAAAATTTTTCTATGGGGCCCTGTGATTTCTAGTTACGCCCCTGGTGGCAAGTCAAAGTTTTGGATTTACCCTCACTTTCATTTTCAGTGACTTTGGTGATCAGGACAATTAGAGGCATTGAATCTCCCTAACAAGGACACAGGTAGCAAAATGAAAAAAATCGAATGAAATCTTAGTATTTTAGTACAGGTAAATGCTAGCTACACAGACAAAATATATCTGAACCTTCCTTATCACCACCACCTATTTTGGCGCCATGGCTAGTCTTCCCTTGTTTGGGGCCTGTTGCTATCCTGCAGTTATGGACACTGCTGTAACCACTGTGACTCCTTTTCCTATGCCTCTGTTGATATATTTTCCAATGTCTAGCAATGCCTC